GCAATATGGTTCATGGGGTCACGAAGAGTCAGACATGACTTAACGACTAAACAACAACAACTGTAATTAATTTACAGAATTCACTAATGCAGAATGGAGTAGGTTTTTTTGGCCTTTCAGTATTTCATTAAACCAAAGAGAGAAAAAAAGAGCTAACTTGGACAGCCTTAAAAAAGGATTAAACAGATTTTTGCAGGATAGGACAATGAATGGCTGTTGCATAAACAATGGAAGTCATAATCAGTGTTGCTGGGAAACAGCAGGGTGTTACGAACCATACCATTTTCCCACCAGACTGAATTAATTTAGTATCAATATCATGTGGATGTTTTTAAAAACTGAATCCCCCCCAGTTTTGTTTATTTTAATCACTGTAAAAGATGCAATTTTAACTTTAAGACAGGCGAGATCCATTACTAGTGGAACAAGGGCAAAGACGTATCTCAAGTCCAAAACAAGCAAAGAGTATGCATAAGCAGCTCAGACAGACACCTCCCTAATTCACGTGGGAATAAGAAGGGGAGGAGGTCCAGCGCAATCAGACTTGCAAGATTCTGTTATTACGGCCACTCTCATTAAAAGCAGTCTTCGCCCTCCTGTGGAATTGATTTCCTGGTCTGGTCTACCTGGTGGGGCTGACAGGCAGAGCCCACGACATGGCTGTGTCGATCTGTTTGCTGGTTGTTTTGGTTTTGGTTTTACCTCAGCTGCCAATTCTGTGTGTATTATTGTTATATGGTGTTATACGGTGCTTTTTAACTGCTGTTAGCTGCGCAGAATCAAGAATCTGACATAGGTGGCCATATAAACAAAGAAATAAAATTCCCAGAGGCATTAGGGAACTGATCAGACTGATGTTTGCTCCAGCAGGGCTCTGTTCTTAACCCCCAAGTTTTGTGGGAGGGGAAAGGCAGGAGACCGACCAAACCCCCAACGAGGACCAATGGTGTTCAGTGGATGGAGGGTGGTAACCATCTGTGGAAGAGAACAGGAACCGGGGGCAGCAAAGAGGAAGCCAATGGCATGATGGAATACTAAATTAGCTGCGTGTTTTGCTGGAGCTCTGACTGGTAGGTTGCAGCAGACCTCGAACTGAGCAAAGTGGAACTATTACAGATGGCAATGTGCTGGAGCACATCAAGGGATGGTGGCACGCTTGAGCCTAAGGCATGGCCCCAGTGGTCAAAGCAGAAAGAGCTAGGACATCAGCACAGCACAGCGCTCCAGAGTACCTCACCTTCTCTGGCAGCGGAAGGCAAAGGAAGTTACTCTGCCGCAAGGTCACCCGGAGGATCTTGACCACTTCTGAAGGCTTGGAAGTGACCAACCTGGGCATCAGGTCGAGAAGCTTATCCACAAAGCTGCCTTGCATATGAGGGAGCTCGGAAATGAAACATCTGTGAAATGATGAGAGAACAAAGAAGTCAAGCCAATGTACTTACGGCTGTCGGGATTCACAAACTAAAGGGTACAGCTCTGGAAGCTGGCTGATGCATGAGAGAAGCATAAATGGAGAAAGGAGAGAAACTTGGGCACCTCCGCATGAGATGTGACTATCCCAGTATAGCCATGGACTACACTGGTTCTTCCAATTATGTCCTAGGACGAAGCTTATGAAGAACTATTAGCCCAAAGCAGCCACAGAAACCTGGAAAATCATTTTAATGTGATGGTTATACATGAGTGCGGGAACATCTTCACAAAATACAGAGGGAGTTCTGAACGTGGAAAGATTCTGGTTTGTTTATATGAGACAATCCTTCATGGACAAGAGAATATACACTTGATGCACCTTAAAACATTACAAGCTGTCACGCACCCTCTTTGTTGTCTGTGCACTTTTCATATTATCCTTTTATTTGTCAATATGAAAGCTTAATCTCAGGAACTCAGAGGGCTCTTGAACAGATCTGTTGGTTTTGCTGTCACCGCTGAACCCTTTCCTGCTTTGCTTTGCTCCTCTAGTTTTTTATCTCATCGAATGGAACGTGAGTTGGTGGAACAAGGGGAAGATACAGAAGAGAGCCCATGTTTCTTTAACAGGTCAATAAGGAATTGAATTCACTTTCATTAAAGAACTTGAAATGGGTTGTAAAGTGGCTCCCTTAATATTACCATGGATCGATCCTTGCTGACCTGGGACTGGGATATTAAACCAGTCACTTGGAGACAGTGGATTTTCCTAGGCATCAAACTTCTCAGACCCCTTCTTCCATCCACCCCTCAAATCTCTCTCCTCAATTCCCCCTCCCACCAGAGTATAAACTGGCAGAAGGTGTCCTGTGCCCTGCCCTTGGACTGGCAGTTCTAGTACTGCATCATCACACCAGAAGATCTTTTCTCCTCCATCTTCTCAGCAATAGGCTTTAGCACCAATGGCGCCAGTGCTTTTAAAAGAACACCTTCTTAAACTCGAGAGCTAGTTCTCATGAAGACCAGAGGCACTGAAAAACCTGTACCTGGACTGTATCGCTTCACCCTGCAGATAAGGGTACGCATGAATAATAATTCCAAAAGTCTTCAATTTGGGAGCCTAATTCTAGAGCAATGTTTCTCAACCTTGTTGAGTTGAAGTCCACACATCTTAAAGTGGCCAAGGTTGAGAAACACTGCTCTAGAGCATATCCTGAGTGCTCTTAGCAAATGATTATCTTAGAAGGGACTTGGCTGTCATTAAGAAAAACAAAAACAACTCCAAAACTGATTACCAGAAAATGTTGCTCCCTGTGACGTCTCTAACAAGAAAAGCTCTCTATTAAATTAACATTATTTTTCTGGACCAGTAGGCATGTTTCCAGGAAAAGTCTCAGACTTCAGCACTTTGCTACTTTTATTTTCCAATAACGCACTGACGGTCTATAGAATGCAGGGGCATGCGTGCAAATAAATATAATACTCAAGGCTATTTTTCATTAAAACAACCTGAAAATATAAAGTCAAAGTGCAAGGAGATGAACAGAAAGCTATTCCGCTAAAAATAATGGATGAATGAAAGAATCCATGTATGACTAAAAGGAACATATGAGAAAAAAACAAGAATAAGATCAAATTACTAATTATTACCTTTCTGAGAATGGGGGGCGGGGTTTGCACACATGCATGTGGTCACAAAAGAGAGGGAAAATTCAGACAAGTGCAGCCTTATGACAATTCGACCAGGGAGGAATACTTAACCAGAGTACACACCTTTGAAAACAGTCCACTTCCTGCAAAAATTTCTCACAGATTCCAAGTGGTTCCACCCTGTAATAAAGATATAAAGTCCATTCTAGACATCTTGATGTTTGCCTGTTACAACTGACTTCCACAGCAGGAAGTCAGACACATTATTCTACAGAAAAGCTGGCTTGGGAATGCAAGGGGTATTAAAGATTTCCCATTCCAACTCTTACTTAACCATCAGTTCAGCGCTAGGCCTTTGGTAAACTGCTTTGGAACCTACATCAAATCTGCAATTTTGGGGGGGTGAAAACTGTCTTGGACAAGTGCCATCCCCTGCATTTCTGACATAATACTTCTGTAGCTTCCCTATTTATTTATGTATCTGGTCGCTAAGAGTCGACACCAACTTGATGGCACGTACCAACAGAAGCGAGTATGTGTAGCTCAGGGTTGAACTGTGGAGTCCTTGGAGTTCTCTGAGCTTGGCTGTTGAGCACTGAAGATGTGACCTAGCCGGGTAATGAAACGTTTGCAAGAAAACAACCAAGTTCCGAGAACCCCAAGGATGCCACGGTGATGGCACATAGTCAGTCAGTCAAAAGCTTTCCACAACAGCCAGTTTTATGGACCCACTGTAGCCAACGACTGAATCTGCCTTCCGCTAATTTGTCTTTCAACCGATCCAGCATCCCCATGTCCCAGAAGGCCTCCTTACCCTCTTGCTGTCCGCACGGTCACAATCAGCTGCAGAGCCTTTGCCTGCAGCCTCATATGGTGGATGATGACCACCTGCCTATGCTCCACGTTGCTGTACATGAACTCCATCTTGTACGTTTCTTCCATAATCTAGACAAGAAGCCACTGGTTTTTAATTCTGACAGATTCCCAGGGGGCTACCCAGAGATTGCTTCCCCTGGAAAACATGGTGTTGGCTAGTTCAAACCCAAAATGGGTGAAGCGACAGTACAGTACAATATAACAGAGCCATCATCAAGAGCCTCTTATTAGCATCATGTGATGATTTCAACAAGATGGGTGGTAGAACAGGGGCTTTCTGGACTTCCCGTAGAAGAATTTTGAGAAATTGCAATTTAATTGTTGGAGTTACGGTGTGGATGGATACATGTGTATGATATTCACATACATGTGATATTCACATGCATATTGTATTAATGGGAGAACTCTTAATGTATTGGTGTGTTACTGGGCAGGATATATAGCTGTCGCAGAAGTACCAACTATTTTATACTTCAATTTGTTTTTAAAAAAGGATGTTGTGCAGGAATCTCTGGATTTAGAAAGCAGACAATATGCACAAAATTGTTGAAATGCTAAGGCCAGGGGGAGGGGGGAGGACACCAGATCCCCCAGGGCAAGTTTCTCGCCTAGCCTGCTCAAGAAGATTAGGGTTCCCAATTCCCAGAATTTTTAGCAGACTCAGCTTTTGGTAGTCACAGCCTCACCACATGCTGTAAGGAAAGCTTATTCTTCTATCCACCTGTACAGGGTCTCCATTTCTTCTCTCCTAAACAATCTAGTCTGGCTTCTCTAGTCTGGAGTAGCCCCCCCCACCTCTTCTCCCTTGGAAGGGTTAAACCTCTTAGAGTCTGACTATCTGTGGAACCACCTCTCGTTTTGAATCTGTCTGGGCACAAAGATCTCCCAGAAATGCTCTTTTAAAGATGGGCCCTCTCTCATCAGCCCATTTGCCGGGCAAGCAGAAGAAAACTCTCCTGTGCATCTTCCAAGCTATGGAAAAAGCTATGCTAAGAAAAGCATTTTGTTCTTGCCCTCTGCACCTCCAGAAGGCATTAAAAATTCTTCAGCTAGGTCTTTCCAATTGTTTTTACAAGTGTTTCTCTGTGTATGCATTTTAACTATGTTTAAATTTTTGATTTCCCTCCATTAGCCACTTCTACCACTCTATTGGATCGAAAGGAGGGGCATGAATTTCAGAAATACTATAATTCATATATATTTCTGGCATTCTTACCCAGTATTGGTCATACATATTGCCTTTTAATTCTGTGCCAACTTCCCTGTGGTTTTTTTATACCCCTGCAGAACTGTGTTATATATTTCTCTGTATATGTGTACTTGTGTGTATGTATGTGTGAATACACACACACACACACGCACGCACACACCTGACCTACAGGCTAGGTCAATAGAATACTGCCTTCTCCACCCCCCGCCCTCCAGGCATGTTAGAACTACAGTTCCCAGATTCCCCAGCCAACTTAGTTAAGTACAGTTCCCAGATTCTTCAGCCAATTTGGTTATTTCTCCCTGATGGACCCTAATTTCGCTACCGGCCAAAATTTGCTATGTTGCTCTCATTCCACAGAACGCCACTGCATTTAGGATCAGAAAGTTGGAGGCTTCTGTTAAATTCTGACAAAACCTCAGGGCTCCTCTCTGAATTCGAATGGGAGGGCAGCCTTGCCTGCTCCGTCACCATCCCTCCTCCATTCTTTCCACCTCTGACTCCATGCTCCTAAAACAATCCAGGTTCTTGGTTTTTCTGCCGCCCCCAAGCCAAAGTCACAGAGCCAGAGCAGCTCTCTGCTCTGACTCGCAGAGGTTCCCTCCCACCCCCCACTCACCCCCCAGCGTACCTGCCTGGCTGCAGCTGAGGCCAGGGCATTCTGTTTCACGTACAGAGGAGCTGCTACATTCCAGAGTTTTTCCTGAAGAGCCTGCAAATGAAATGACACCCAGGAGTTTTTGCAACAGATCTCACATGGGGAGCACTGTCGCCCAGAACAACCTGGGCTACGGGAAGTCTTGACCCTGTTCTGGATCTGACGGGGGAGGCCAAGGGGAACCTGACTGCATGCTGGAGTGTTGACTCTTGGATCAATTCAGACCCAGGCACGGTCTGAGTCTTACAACTCCACAAGGCTAAGTCCGATTTACAATGTTATGAATGAGTGCAGCCGTGTTTTCTTGATTGGCCAGGGTGCTGTATTCTTTTCCTTGAAACTTATTCCAGGCACCTTCCAGATTACAACTCCCATGATCCCCATCTACTTCAGTGGGAGGGATGAGCACTTAAGCCTCAACCCACTTATAGGTTACTGGATCGGGAATGACAGTTGAAGGCTGCAGTGATTCTGGATACAACAGGCCTCTTTGGGGGTTGTTGGTTTTGCTAATACATTTGTCCTGAGTGTTATATAAAGAAACAAGCACAACAAAGATTAAACACCTTGAATGAGAACATAAAGGCTGGTAGAGGACCAATGGGAGTGAAGTAACATTCACACATTCACAAGTTCTCTTAATGGTGTCCTATCCTTTGGCACTCAGCTAAGCACAGAAGGTAATATGACTTGGCAAACCTCTAACTTCCACCCTTACCCCCAAATTAGTAGAGCATTGCCTGGGCCCTCCAGAAGCTGCTGGTGAATATGCAATGTTAACACAACAGAAAGCAAACACGATTAAACACAAATTTTAGCCCAACTTAACTTTGGTTCCATATCGTTTTCATTTCAGTCCTGTCCACTTAACGTGATCTAGCAGGCACGCTCATGGATATCCCAAAGACAAATGACATTTCCCTTGCTTACAGTTTCTCTAGCTTTAGAGTTCATGCCTTTGCTGGTGGGGATGGGGGCAGGAGCGGAAAGAGAGAAAGCAGCGCTGAAAGCCGCATGAATTGCAAAATCAGCCAGTGTTCCAAAAGCTGCTGAGACAGCGGCTAATTAACGCAAAGGCTCCCAACTCCAGCTACTGATATGCCGTCCATGAGCCCAAAACTTCAGAAAGGAGGCACAGATTGGCACAGTGCAAACGAAGGGATTTCCCCTCTGCCAAGTCACTTTCTAGTTACTTGGCTTAGAACTGCTTCTGGATGAGTCACTTTCTCGCTGGATCTTTTTTTATTATTATTATTATTAGATTTTTATCCTACCTTTTTATTTCTCTCTCTCTTTCAAGGATGTGAACATACCTATTACTCCTAGCTCCTATACTCATTTGTTCATTCATTCATTTATCAAATGTATATGGCCACCCAACTTGCACACAGCGACTCCGGGCCGCTTACAGAGTAAAATCCCCAATACGAAAACCATCAACACCCACCCCCTGACAATGGGCTGAAAGACAGTGACTGGCCCAACATCATTTCCAAACAGTAAGTGCCAGGACAACACACAGCTACGTGCCCAGTGGGTACGAATGCATACCTTAATGAGAAGGAGCTGGCACCGTAGGTAAGCTGCAGAGAAGTCGGCCATCCCGGCCAAGTCAGACTGGAGCTCTCCAAACCTCTGAAGGTCCCTGGGGCAAAGAAGAGAGCAGGAAAATTCTGCTTTGTTAGCCACAGACAATCAACACAATCAGCTTGTTCGAGTTAAAATAACTCTCAAAGACAGGCTTGACTGATTTGTTCCCAGGGACAAACTGGAGACGTCTGGCCTCCGAGCTTCACAGATCTAGCGAGAGCTGTGTCCGTATGGGCCAAAACGTGGCAGGGCCAGGGAACAAGAGCCAGCTCGTGGCCTTGCTGTAGCAAACCTCATCTAGATCTGCTTGCTATACAGTAGTTTCCAAGAGCTCTGCAGGCACAAGGTGTTGCTGCGTGATTTTGTGTTATGGCACAAGCACCAAAATAACAGTAATTTATTTATTTATTTATTTATTTATTTATTAAACGCATTTCTATCCCGCTACAGTTCAAAAAAAGCTCTCAGAGGCTTCCACAGAATAATAAAAAATCCCACGAGATTTCAGATGTCATGCCCTGAAATCCTGCAAGATTTTGAAAGATTTGTGAGATCTTGCAGAAATTTGGCCCCCTCGTAACAAAGAAAAATGCTAAAGGGGGTGGATATCCTGTGGATCCTACCAGGGTCTATCATGGGCACCTTTAAAGATGAAATAACCAAGCCTTGTTCTCCATCTCCCTTTTTCTAGCACTTGCAATGACATTCGGTGTATCTGTTGACCCACACAGGGCTACCAACATCGAGACAGATCACTTTCTCCCTTTTGTCTAGGTCTAATGGGGATCCCGAGGTCTAATTTGCCTGAAATTTCCAGTGCAGCCACCACAACAGTGTTTCTCAACCTTAGCCATTTTAAGATGTATGGACTTCGATTCCCAGAATTCCCCAGCCAACATTCTGGCTAGGGAATTCTGGGAGTTGAAGTCCACACATCTTAAAATGGCCAAGGTTGAGAAACACTGCACTAGAGGGAAGACATGCTTTATTAAGCATCATGACTATGAGATTCCTACTTGGTTCAGGTGTAACCAGAGCCAAGTTTAGGAAAAATTTGGGGCACCAGCCGAAATCTTATCGTTACCTTAGCTTTTCATCTAAATGTTTCTACTGCATCTTTTGTTACTTTAATATCAAAATGGTTTCAAAATGGTGCAGTGTGCATGGAGGGGCACATCACTTTGGGGACTATTATGCAGAGAGTGAAAAAAAAGCCACCACTACAGAAAGGTTGGGCCTCTTCTTCGTAGAGAGAGGAAAGGATTTTGCCCGTGTCAGTTACCCCTCACTCCCTCTGCCTCTATGACTCGCTCTGCCAGGGGCTGCCCCACAGACAACACTTACAAAGGTATAAAAAGTACTATTGTAACCAAGATCTTTGCATTTCTGCAGCTGCTTCAGGGCACAAACCCACACTGCTGAATAGGGCTGGCCTGTACAAGGGTCTGGGGGCTATGAAACAGAAAAGCATGTGCTGAGTTCTGGTGGACGTCACCAACCTGGATGAAGTTCCCACCCCACCCCTCTCTCATTTTGCAAAGTAAGCACCGAATGGTGAATTCAAGCAGCTCCTGAGTGCCCTGTGGATCTAGATGCTGAAGATTGAAAACTCTTTCAAGGCTCTGCTGTAGAAATTCCTGGGAAGGGTCTTCCTGAAGTGTGAGGCTGGCAGGCACGGAAGAAGATGCCAGCTTTTTCCCAGGCAGCTATGTGAAAAGAAAAAAAAGGGGGGGGGGAAGGGTGAGAAAGGAGGATTCAGCTGGCCATGCAGTTCCCAACATGCGTGCCCTGCCATGAGTTTTTTCTCTTGGAAGTGATGGCTTCTCGTCCATGACTGTGTTTTACAACCCCATTTTCCACTCTCGGGGTCCCTCCCACTGGAAACACGTGGCAAAGATAAGGCATTCCCATGGCACCAGATTCCTTGCCCTCTGCAGCATAAAGTTAAAAGATCCATGCTAAGGATTGTCCCAACAGAATTTCTCTCTCTAGTGCAGGGTTCCTCAACCTTGGCAACTTTAAGACGGGTGGACTAAGTCCACCCGTC